CTTGGACTCAGAGCTTATTTCTGAAATATTCAGATTTAATGAGTCATAAATCTGAGGCTTTGTTTCTTCCTCACTTACCTCCATTGAATTCTTCGGATTCATTTTCAATGTAACAGTTTTTACATTATATAATGAATTAGACTGTTCTGATGAATTATTATCTGAAGATAAACCTTGGAATCTAAGCTTCTTTTCCCGATTTCTTTCTCCTATTACATTACTAATCCGTTCTTTATGTACCCGATCCAGAAATTCGATCTCTTTATCTTCTGGTGATTTAGATTTTGTATGAATGGATGATATGGAGCATTGAATCTTGACCTCTGATATACATCAGAACTTAAAGCATCATCAGTTATATCAGATGCAGGAGTATTATCCTCTAATGATTTTATAACAAGGTCGGGTATATTAACATTATCTTCAGATGAATTGTCTAATCTATCTACAGTATTGCATTGCTTTTGCTCCAATTTTACAAATCACTCTTCATTTCCTTTTGCTGACTGTTCTAGTTCCATGATTCTTGCATTGAGCTCAGCATCTCTTAACTTTGCTTTCTCGGCATTTTCTTCTATAATCTGTTTTAGCTCAGTCTCAAGCGCATTTTTTTCTTTTACTATTTGCTCTAATTCTGTGATCCTAGTCATAAGTCTAACATTTTCCAATTTTAATGAATCAACTTCGGATAAGTCTTTAGATTCGCCTTTTTGAGTTTGCATGTTTAATATTAATTTATATAATTTTAGAAATGGTTGGGAAAAGAATTTTACTGTACACGTTTTGAAAAATATTTTTTCTTGATAGTTAATGCTTTTAATTTCAAATAAAAAAATTATGTGCGCGTGACAATTTGTCACACTGATCACTTTTACCAAGAAATATTTTTGTCTCAAAGAGGCTTACCTTTGGTACTAAAAATTCTTGACAATATGTCATTTTTTTGAAGTGATTGTGTTTTTCTCTTTTTTCATATATAGAAAGATTATTCGAATTTTTTTTATCACAATATAAATTATATGTATTAACAGAAAGAATAATATATACGTATCTAAAATTTTATTGAAAAAATGTTATATCCTATCACAGAAGTGCAAGAAAAAAAAAAATATATCTACTACACAAGCAAATCGGAACCATGATTTTAAACATTAGAATTTTTTTCTGATATTCTTTTCAGGCAAACTTTATTATAATACATAAATAAATTAAGGTAAAATCTGTTTATCTATTATTTCGCAGAACTTGCCAGTGACATCCCGAAATCTGGCACTCATATGGACATTTCTAAAATTCTTGTCATACCAGAAATGTATGATATTCAAACCTCTATCCTGAAGCTTTTGAGATGGCCAGTATGGCTTAGTAACAACAAAATCTTCACGAGAAAAGTGCACGATCTATACTTCTTGGAAGCAAAGGTGCTCAGTATACTTAAAGACTTGGTCGAAATGGCCGTTTAGTTTTGAAACCGATGCTATTGCTAAGAGCTCAATAAGAGCTTCAGGATGGGGGTTATCAGGTTTCTTTATCATCAAATCACAGTAATAATGATGATAGCTGCCATCATTACAAAATTGTTCAAGATGCCACTAGTCTGTAATTTCGTAGCCGTGGACCTTCCTTAGCCAATTTGCTAAGATCCTGTACATCTCAGCATCATACGTGCTCTCTCTCGGAACTTTATTGTGATGCTCAAAATCCACGTATATGTGATTTGAATTTTTGTACGAGCGGGTGGATCCTAGTGCTATTGTGCCTTGGTCGAATTCATGGACTACAACCTTTAACACTTCTAAAATATTTATGGATCTGTTCTTCCACAACAGAACATCTATGGAGATATCTATGATATTACCAATGCTTCATTTTTTTCTGGCAATAGGTGTAGAAGGTAATAAAACTTCTTGCTAATTAGAAATATCAGCTAAAGGCTTTCGAGCCATTTTCCCATCAACCTGCATAAAATAACAGTAAATGAGATAATATTCTCAGAAAGTATATGTAGATAATACAAAAAAATATCTAGTATATTTTTTGTTAAAGGTACATAACCAACTCCTCCTCCAGGATCAGTAGACCTTTATCAAAAAATATTGTTAAATAGTCTCCAAGATAAATATGCTAAATACTGCAATAACTGAGGGCTTGTAAATCCCCAAGCGAAAGCTTCTTGTGCTTATATATCAAACCTGAAAAATGTGCATTTGGCATATAAAATAAGATACTTACTTTCTTTATAAATAACAGGCTCCTAACTGCTTCAAGAACTTCTTGCGAGGTGCTTGGATCATCACGGATAATATATAAGGTGTTATAAAATACTGTATGTGCCTCATTTTTCTCAATGCATCCAAACATATTTGTAGACCAGAAGATGAAATGCTGAATAGACCACATGTTATATAGGAAGAGCCAGAAATATTCGATTTTATCCTTTTCAAGAGCTTTTGTTCATTCTTTAAACCTTCTGGCTTGTTTATCTAGTTTTATAGTGAGTCCTCGTTTTATGCCATCTTCTATAAACTTTTTTTCGGTCATATCTGGAAAAATCTGTCCATCGATTTTTTCTTTGCGAAGTATTTCATAGTTATCCTCGTCGAGGTTTAAATTTTGTCTGCGCAAAAAAATAATAAGAGTTTCAGTATCCTAGTTTTCAGCTGAGAAAGCGGTTAGAGTAATAGCGGGAGAAGACATAATGATTATTTGGTTAGTAAATGAAAAATTCAGCAAAGTAGTAATGACAAATTTTGGAATAACTGTCCATACGTCTTTTATAAATGAGAGAAAGCACGTTAAAGAATAATCAGCTAAAGAAAATGAAGAGTGATTTGTAAAATTGAAGCAGAAGCAAAACAATACTGTAGATAGATTAGAAAATGGAGATAATTTGTATGAAAATGATAATATATCCAAACTTGTTATAAAATCGTTGGAGGATAATACTCATTCATCTAATATAACTGATGATGCTTTAAGTTCTAATGTATATCAGGAGTCGAAGATTCAATGCACCATATCATTTATTTATACAGAGTCTAAATTACTAGAAGATAAAGGGATCGAATTTCTGGATCGGGTACATAAAGAACGTATTAGTAATGAAATAAGAGAAAGGAATCGGGAGAAGAAGCTTAGATCCCAAGGTTTATCTTCAGATAATAATTCTTTAGAACAGTCTAATTTATTATATGATGTAAAAACTGTTACAATTGAAACGAATCCAAAGAGTGCAAATCTGAACATTCCAGAGATAAGCTCCGAGTCCAAA